TGAAATGACAACATAGAATTTAGAATATTCTGTAAGCTTAGTTGATAAAGGAGTGACACGTTTTTAGATGACTGACTTGAATTTTGAAGGAAGTTCTAATGTGCGCAAAATGCTATCAAACAGCATCACATGCTAAAGAGAAATTTTCCATGAGAGGAAGAGTCAGTTGGTGCATCAAGCTTAATTGTTGTCTTATTTCAAGAAACTGTACCTTAAGAATTGCTTGAAGAGGCAGATGTTGCAGTGAGCTGAGATTGCACCTCTGTACTCTAGTCTGGATGACAGAGCAAGACTCTGTCTGAAAAAAAAAAAAGAAGAAGTGTACTGGCCACTCCAGTCAGCAGCTATGAAGATCAAGGCAAGATCCTCTCCCATCAAAAAGATTACCACTTGCTGAAGGCTCACGTGATTGTTAAGATTTTCTAGCAATAAAGTATTTTTAACCCAGATATGTACATTGTTTTTTAGACATAATGTGATTGCACATTTAATAAGCTACAGTATAGTGTAAACCTAACTTTTATATGCACTGGAAAATTTTTAAAAATGTGTGACTTGCTTTATTGTGGCAGTCTGGAACTGAACCAGCAATATTTCCAAGGTTTGCTGAACAAAAATTAAATTCTAGAAGAAAATATAGGAGAAAACCCTGTGTCCTAGAATCAGTCAAAGATGTCTTAGGTATGATACAATAAGCAAGATCCATAAAAAACAATGAACTGGACTTTATCAAAATTAAGAACTCCTGCTATTTGAAAAAATAATTTTTAAGAGAATAAAATTATAAGCCACAGTCTGGAGAAAATATGTTAAATAATTTATCTGATAAGACATTTGTATCAAGAATATACATATATATGTATACACATACACACACATATATATACACACTCATATGTATATACACACACATACATGTGTATACACACATATGTATATACATACACACATACATGTGTATACACACACATCCCCTTAAGTCCAGTAATAAGAATCCAAATAGTTCTAAATAGTAAAAAAATGGAGGAAATATTTGGGCAGATAATTCACCAAAGAAGATACATGAAGGCAGAAGAGGTCAAGGAGAGTTGTCCATATCACTAGCCATTAAGAAAATGCAAGTTAAAGCCACGATGAAGCAACACTGCATGTTTATTAAAATGTCTGGAACTATGTCTATTGATTAAAATGTCTAGAACTAGAAAAAGTGGGCATACAAATAATCCGCCAGGCTATGCCATGACCGGAACTGCCATACACCTCCTGTGGGGATGTAAAATGGCAGAACCATTTTGGGAAACAGTTGGTCAGGTTCTTAAGAAGGAAAACATACACCTATTATGCAACACAGTCATTTTCCGCTTAGGTCTTTACTTAAGATAAATGAAAGCACATGTTCCTACAAAGATTTGTGTATGAATGTTCATAGCTATTTTATTTGTAATAGCCCCAAATTGGAAACAACCCAAATGCCCATCAAAGAATTAACTGACGAACAAAAGTGATACATTCACAATAGTGAGGGTATTTTGCTACTCAGCAATGAAAAAGAATGAACGGTGAAACATGCAAAAACATGTTTGAATCTCAAAATACTTTAGCTGAGTGCAGGGACCAGGCATAAAAGAATGCACAGTGGGAATGCACAGTGGTTTGGGCTGGGAAGAGGCAGAGGAGGGACTTCGTCTTGCAGCCATGGTGGGTGGCCAACCCTGAGAGCTGCCTGGAGACTCAGGAAGAGGACAGGGAGCAGGGCTGGGATGGGGCAAGAGGCAAGGGGCAAGGGGCGGGGGTGAAGGTTGGAGTCTCCAGGCTGGGAAGGATCTTCCCACTATTCCCACAGCCCCACAGCCTCACCTTTCACTGAGGGTGGGATAATTACCGCTGTCTTCCCCAGACCCCAGCAAGGGAGAGGCAGATGAGCCAGCTCTGCCAAGATCTTGTCCAGCTGCATTGGGCCTGAGTATGGCAGTGTGGCCCAGTGTAGCAGGACTCTCACTGACTTCCACTGATGAGGCAGGGGGTGAGGCCAAACTGGAGGCTGGCACCACCAGGAGGGTCTTGCCTTGGAGCCCCAGTAGTCCCTCTGAGGGAATGTGTTCTCTTTCCGTGTCCATGAGTGGGAGTAGTTTTAAGGGTAAAAATTTCCCAGCACCATGCCCCTCTCCCATCTCTCTCCATCCGGGAGATTTAACTGTTTATGTTTAAATTTCTCAGGGCATGGGGAAAAGCTGAGTCAATCACCCCAGCAGAAGTTTAAAGGGAGGCCTTTCATTGGCCAGAGGAACTTGGAAAGGTGGGAATGTCTCCCAGGATAAATTCTCCTGCTCCTCACGGACGCTGGATTTCCAGCTCTTTGGAATCTCCTCCCACATGGTGAGAGCTCCCTTTCCCCTCTGGGATTTCCCCTCTGGAATCCCCTTCCACACTCTTCGTGGAAGTCTTTCTCTTCTTCTCCTTTTCTCCTCTTTTCTCTACCTAAATGAAATCACCTTTCTGCAACACTTCTTGGGTCCGATATTTACTTTTACGAGCATACGTCGCAACTGCAGTGGTCCCATCGCTTATTCTTTAAGAGATTGGAGGCCAAGAACCCACAACATTCTCTCGGGAGAGCTGTGCCTCACCAGCACCCAAGAAAAAAACCCGGTTACACCTTGAGCACGACAACCAGAGGAGGCTCCCAGGGTGGAGAGTGGGGCACCTGCCACCTGGGCTGCAAAGAGCAGCAACCCTCCAACTACTGCAGCAACCACAGATCCCCCAGGACTAGGTAGATGGAGCACGTGGAAGCCTTCAGGAGCCCAGTGCTGAGGGATCTCAAGATTTCTCCCAGCTGGTCAGATTCTTGGAATGGCCTGACCTTGCAGGTCACTAGCCACTTTGAGAAACTCCTAACTGTGCTGTCCCACTTCTCCTGAAAGTTTACATGCAAAGAATGGGGTTTTGTCCTTTGCAGTGTGGGAATACAAAATAATTCAGAGTCACCATGACCCAGAACGGAAACAGAGTGGCCCACTTTCCATGCTTCATGAACATCTGTTGACATTTTGAAATCTGAAACTTAGCATTTACAAAGACTTTGGAGAAATGGCTGCCCACCCTCCTAGAGGGAAAAACAAACTACTTCCAACATAATCTTTTATTTATTTATTTATTTATTTATTTTTTTTTTGAGATGAAGTTTCCCTCTTGTTGCCCAGGCTAGAGTGCAATGATGCGATCTCGGCTCACCGCAACCTCTGCCTCCTGGGTTCAGCCTCCTGAGTAGCTGGGACTACAGGCACGTGCCACCACACACAGCTAATTTTGTATTTTCAGTAGAGAAGTGGTTTCTCCATGTTGGTCAAGCTGGTCTAGAACTCCCGACCTCAGGTGATCCTCTCTCCTCCGCCTCTCAAAGTGCTGGGATTACAGGGTGTGAGCCACGACGCCCAGCCTACAACATAATCTTTGTAGCACTATGAAATTGTTCCAGTTTAAAAAATTTCCTCCCATAAACTAAACAAAGTACGGGAATATTTTGTGGGTTATCGGTGCATTGTTGCTAGGGAATCTCTATTTTGAAAGTCCAAGTAATTGAAAATGACTTTTATAGATCCTAGATGGTACCAAAATAGAAACTGCAGTTTTGAGCTACTTTATATATGCGGTGTTTGCGGGGCTGACGGAGTGGGGGGAACCTGCTTTGAGACAATAAATGCTCAGCATAAGAAAAGCATACCTACTGTATGATTCTACTTACATAAAATTATTAAAAATACCAATATGTAGGGACAAAAGTAGACCAGTAGTTTTCTGGGGATTGGTGGACAGGGAGAAGCATGAGACAGAGAGAGCACAGAAGTGCACTTGAAAAATTTTAAAAGTGATCTTTTTAAAGTGATATGTTAATTAAGCATAGCAGTAAAAATGGAAGTTTACAAGTATGCTGAATGAGGCTGATTTCTCTATTTCTACCTGTCTACCTGGACTAGTGGGGGTATGTCTGGAGACAGATGATTGGAGGATGATGGCTTCTTTAGAGGGAAATGCAGCCTTGTGGCAAAGAGGAGTTTGAGAACTACGCACACTGAATAGCCACTCTGTGTCAGACCCTGTATTAGGCACTCTAAATGAATTATCCCTTTTAATTCTCATTAAAAAAAAATCTTGCCGGGCGCAGTGGCTCACGCCTGTAATCCCAGCACTTTGGGAGGCCGAGGCAGGTGGATCATGAGGTCAAGAGATCGAGACTATCCTGGCCAACATGGTGAAACCCTGTCTCTACTAAATACAAAAAAAATTAGCTGGGCATGGTGGCGCGTGCCTGTAATCCCAGCTACTTGGGAGGCTGAAACAGGAGAATCGTTTGAACCCAGGAGGTGGAGGTTGCGGTGAGCCTAGAATGCGCCATTGAACTCTAGCCTGGGTAACAAGAGCGAAACTCCATCTCAAAAAAAAAAAAAAAGAAAGAAAAAAGAAAAAAAATCTTTGCACTAAGTACCACTACATATGAGGAAACAGAGCCTCAGACACTGAACCACTTGCTTTAGGATTGCTGCTCTCTGACTGAGGAGCCAGTGCTGATGCTGGAAGCTTTCGCTCTTTGCCACCAGCCGCTGTGCCTTGCTGAGTCCTGGGGACTCTGCGTCCATCTAAAACCTCTGCATTAGGGGTAGAGTCACTCCAAGGGACTTACATATTTTTGCTTGGTCTGGAGTGCAATGTGGTACCCAGGGACCCAGGGGAATTACGATTCTTGCACTTTGGTTGACCAGTCATCATTTTTTTCTTCTTTTTTTAAATCAGGACTGAAGGGGTTCTTGGAACACAGGACTTTCATTTTAAAACCAAGAGGAGTCAGTCAGCTAAGCTGCAGCTCAGCAGCGGCTTTGTCCTTCAGGACGCTAGTTCTTGCTGCTTGGAACTTCGGGACATGCCCAGAATATTTTCTTGGGCTCTAGGCCAGGCTGGTGGGATGGTTTCATAGTTAAGTAAAGGAACAAAGGGAGACAATGTTCTTTTTATTGCTCTTTTATTTCTGTGCTGTCTAAATGTCAGGATCACTAGGAAAAATGATTCCAGCCTCTTCAACCTCCCATTTCCAGATGGAGGCCTCCCTAGGGAGGGAGCTATGAAGGGAAGTAGGAGCCTCTCATTGGATGGAAATGGTAGTTACTGTGAAAACTGCTTCTCTTAGCATAGGTCTAGCCTGACTCTTAGTAATCCCCGGCCCTATAGATAGGCATGACCCCAGGAACAATCTATTTGTGTGATTTCTGCTCTCATTTCCTTAGTCTGGACTCGTATTGTGGACTACGGGGCCGCTGCTGGGTTTGAGAGCCCTTGTCCTGAGTTTGGGGTGAGTTGGGCTCAGACTCCTTATTAACAGGTGAGGATTCAGGTGTGGTCTCCAAACCACAGCACTTGGCCCGGATGCAGCACGGGGCTTTTGGCTGGCAGCAGTGAGTGTGTTTTGGCGGGCAGCACTGAGTGCCTTTTGGCTGGCAGCCCTGGTTGGTTGGTGGCGGGCAGCATTGATTGCCCTTTGGCTGGCAGCCCTGGTTGGTTGGTGACGGGCAGCACTGAGTGCCTTTTGGCTGGCAGCCCTGGTTGGTTGGTGGCGGGCAGCACTGATTGCCTTTTGGCTGGCAGCCCTGGTTGGTTGGTGGTGGGCAGCACTGATTGCCTTTCGGGGGGCAGCATTGACTGTGTTTTCGTTGGTCACACATCTTCTGGAGACTTGGAGGTGCTAGAAAAAGAAAAGAATAGTGTCATCAGAAGGTAATCCGGGCGCCTGCTTTTTTTCCCTCCTTTCTTGATATCCAAACACATCCATCTTCAGGATAATGAGTCAGACCAGGGTTGGGAAAGCGAGCTGGACCCTGCAGAGGGGCCAGCCAGCCCCATACTTCTACCTTTGCATGCACCAGCCTGTTCGTTCCTTGCTAGGTTGTCATTTGCCAGATAAATAATCAAAAGACCAGAATATGTAAGAAATGTGCCTAAGGTCTCTTAGCTAATGAGCAAACGGTGTGACCTCAGTCTCCAGATCCTGAGTCAAGAATCAGGCACTTCACAAACGTCAGCCCGTGTAATGACTGCTAGCAGCCTGAGGTAGACATTTTTAGTCCACGTTACATGTGAAGACCACTGAAGTTCAGAGATCACCTCAGTTGCTTTACAGTGGATTCAAGCCAAGCTCCATCCCACTCCAGAACATGTGCTTGTTCTGGTCTCTAATATGGCACACAGGGACCGGGCTGCGATGGAACTCTTGCCCCTAGAGTGACCTACTGCCACACCCTCCCTGAATGCATCATCTGGTCCAATGCAGGAGCACGTGAGAGGGCAGCTGTTGCTGTGGTGGTTACAGTGAGATGAGCTGGAAAGGACAGTGCTCTTGGCATGGCAGGCCTTGAGTTCCAGGCCTGGCTCTGCAACTCCCAAGCTCAGGGCCTGGGCAGCTCTCTTCACTTCTCTTTGTAACTCTATAAAGAGGCAGTAGTGGGGAGGAGAGAGGGGGAACTGGACCTTGTAGGCCTCCTCAAACTCAACCATTCAGCAGTTTTATAATTTCCAGATTCTTCTGGGTATAGGGAAAATCCAAACAAAACTCTTGTTTTACTTCTATCTACCTTCCTCCACCCAGGAATCCCAGTTCTCCCGGGAAGGTCCCTAGGCTGCAGCCCCAGCATGCAGTCCCTGGGGAGACCCTTATATGCTTTCTGCCCCGTCCCTCCTATGGCACATGATGAGAGGATGAGCGCCACCGTTGTGGCCCCAGAGCAGAAAAGAGGGTCTAGAAGTGGCCAGGAAGCAGCAGACAAGTGAGCAGGGTTGCTATCTAGCCTCCTGAGGGGGATGTGGAAGGTGGGAAATGAGCCTGTACCCCTTCTGGGGACTCAGCTCTCAAAGCCACAAACCTAAGTGGGGGAGGTGACAGGCCTGTCACAGCAGACAAGTGAGAAGGGTTGTTATCTAGCCTCCTGAGGGGGATGTGGAAGGAGGGAAATGAGCCTGTACCCCTTCTGGGGACCCAGCTCTCAAAGCCACAAACCTAAGTGAGGGAGGTGACAGGCCTGTCAGAGCCCCGTCACTGTTGGGGGAAGATGGGTGTGGGATTTGGAGTGACAGCTGCTGAGGTGAAGTTGCAACCATCTTCCAGCATCTGGCATCCTTGGGATTGTGAGAAAACCCTCTTGCCCAAACTAGTTTTTTTTTCTCTCTCTCTTGGCTGGAGTGCAATGACACAATCTCAGCTCACTGCAACCTCTGCCTCCTGGGTTCAAGCAATTCTCCTGCCTCAGCCTTCTGAGTAGCTGGGATTACAGATTCCCTCCACCACACCCAGCTAATTTTTGTATTTTTAGTAGAGATGGGGGTTTCTCCATGTTAGCCCGGCTCGTCTCAAACTCCTGACCTCAGATGATCCACCCATCTCGGCCTCCCAAGGTGCAGGGATGACAGGTGTGAGCCACTGTACTGAGCCAGTTACTGCTGTGGGCTTTCCACTGAGCACACACATGCCTGTATCTCTGTGAACGTGTGTCTGTGTGCATGCATGTGAGTGCATGCAGGCTTGTGTCCATGCACGATCATAGGTACACAGAGAAGAGAACCTGAGGTTTGTGATGATGGCTGTTTAGCTGAATCAAATTGAGATTATTTGGTCTTTCTCATGAGTCTTCGAATTAGAGCCAGTATGAATAGCTCCTAGCCAGGGCCAGCCTCTGTCCCGGCCCTCTCTCTCCTGCTGGAGGCTCCCTACTTGCCCTCCATCAGATCCTGACCTGCTGTTGGGTTGCTTCCCTCCAGCCCTGCTCCAAACACTCTCCCTGGTGTTTAGAAAGCCACATCTCTTATCTCGTCCTCTTTTTTGTGTCCTGTAGATAGAGGGACTCCTGGGGACAGTAGCCAAAAATCTCTCCTCTCACCAAAGTCTTTCTGAGGGAGGGCCAGGCGTGGTGGCTCACGCCTGTAATCCCAGCACTTTGAGAGGCCGAGGTGGGCTGATTATCTGAGGTCAGGAGTTCAAGATCAGCTTGACCAACATGTCTCTGTTAAAAATACAAAAATTAGCTGGGTTTGGTGGCAGGCACATATAATCCCAGCTACTCAGAAGGCTGAGGCAGGAGAATCACTTGAACCCAGGAGGTGGAGGTTGCAGTGAGCTGAGATCATGCCATTGCACTCCAGCCTGGGCAACAAGAGAGAAACTGTGTCTCAAAAAATAATAAAATAAAATAAGACAGTGTTTCAGGGGTTACCTCATGATACGGTTTGGCTCTGTGTGCCTACTCAAATCTCATCTTGGATTCTAATCCTCATGTGTGGAGGGAGGGACCTGTAATCCCCACATGTTGAGGGAAGGAGGTGATTGGATCCTTGGGGCAGTTTCCTCCATGGTCGTGAGTTTTCGCAAGTTCTGATGCTTTTATAAGTGTCTGACATTTCTCTGCTCTCACTTCTCTCACCTGCCACCATGTGAAGAAGGTTCTTCCTTTTTGCCTTGTACCATAATTGCAAGTTTCCTGAGGCCTCCTCAGATGTGTGGAACTGCGAGTTGATTAAACTTCCTTCCTTTATAAACTATCCAGTCTTGGGTAGTATACTTACGGCATTACGGAAATGGACTAATCCACCCTAGGAGGACAAACATCTGTATCATCCTCTCATGAAGGTGTGCAGAATTCACCAGAAAGGTGGTTGCAAAGGGTGCCTGTCAGATGACCTACTTTGCTATCTGAATCACCCCAGTGACTTTATAGAAGATCCAGGGCTGTGGCTGTCCTGAATGATGGGTGACGTGCTCTTAGACTCAACCCTTTTTTATCTGGGGATTCGCATAAATCCAGTTCATAGTGTGCAAACGGGGTCCCATTGATCCAGTGTGACCAACACCTCCACCCACTAGAAACAGGAACTTTCGGACTCACATGTTGAACTCAGCCCCAGCCCGGCCTCTCTTCACTTCCAGTTTCTGAACCATTGAGTCAGGCACATGCCAAGGACCTCCTTCCCACAGAGAAATCCCGAGAGTTTCTCTGAGAAGGAGGGAAGCACAGTGGCACCTCCTATAAGGACCCCTATGTTTGAACCTCCTGAACTAGAGCATTAGGGTGGTTGAGAAGGAAGAGTTACTGTTAAGGCCCTGCCACCTGGTCCAAACCCTTCATCTCCCGAGTCCCTGGCTATGCAGCTGCAGCCTGAACTGGGTCAAGGGCAGTTCCCACCTAAAAAAGAGAGAGTGACTTGGATTAGGGTGTTGGCTTTAATTCAGTTATGACTCCACCCAGGAATCCAGGTTCTACCGGGAAGGTCCCTAGGCCGCAGCCCCAGTATGCAGCCCTTGGGGAAACCCCTATATGGTTTCTGCCCTGTCCCTCCTATGGCACACGATGAGAGGATGAATGCCACTGTTGTGTCCCCAGAGCAGAAAAGAGGGTCTAGAAGTGGCCAGAAATGGATTAGTCCATTTCCATAATGCTATAAATATACTACCCAAGACCGGATAATTCATAAAGGAAAGAAGTTTAATCAACTCGCAGTTCCACACATCTGAGGGGGCAAGATGTTCCAGGACTCATCCCATCTTTCAAAAAAAGGCTCCTGCTTCCATTTAAGAGGAAAACACTGGAGCAAGGCTCCTAAGGAATAGGGGTGGGGACAAGTCACCCCATTGCTCCTTCCAGGTCAGAAAAGCTGCAAAGAAGCTGAGGTGGCAGATACAGGCCATGCAATGACTTGACTTGCCCCAGAGGGAACAGGAAGGAGAGAGGTGAGCAATGGAGAGGCATACCAAAACCGGAACTAGGACACACACACCAGCAGAAAAATAGGGAAGAGGTGAGAGAGTACGGGGCCACGTTCTCTACCACCTTTGCGGTGTTCAAAGCTGTTTGACAGGAAGTGTGTGTGTGTCCACAGGCACACACGTGCACACACTTGGGTGCCCCTGCAACTACAGGGGTGAGTTTGGGTGTCCAGACGTACACAGGGAGCCCAGTATGTGTCCCTGTCTCCTTGTTTGAATTTTCTCCATTGGGGATCAGACCTAAGACTAGGTTTTGAGAGGGATGAGGGAGGAGTGAGCCCCTTCTGTCTTTATTTCTGTTGTTTCTGCATTTGTTTTTGCCTTCTTTACTATCTATTCTCTCTGCCTCTCTATCATTCTCCGGTCCTTCATCCTGTCTCTGTCTTTCTGTCTTCTTTCTCCGGTTTCCCTTTCTCTACTCTGAAAGTCAGTGCCCTGCATTGGCCAAAGTACAGAGTCTCATCATCAGTTTGTTAGGATCCATTCTTACAAGTCCAAGCTGAGCTTTTTCTACAGAAGCAATTCTCATTCCAGTGACCAGAGGTGCAGAGGCATCAGAGGGCACCTGGAGCCTGGGCCCAGGGCCCTGCCTAACCAGTCCCTCCAACATCCCTGCTCCAAGCATGTGCCTCATAGTCAGATCCTGGGAATGGGTCATATCAGAGAAGGAGAGCAGGTTAGAAACCGGTCTTGTTCACGGTAGCATAGGGAAGGCAAAAGCAAGTCCTTCTGCAACCCCACCCCCATGGATGCAGGTCCTGCCCCTCTGAGCCAGTACTGTCTCCACTGTCTTCCTTTGCCTGGTGAACAGCATCTACATCCTCCACTTTCAGAACCCGGCTGCTGTCCAATAAACGTGCCTCCTGGACCACTCTGCCTCCTGCAAGAGTTTGTTCTTCTTAAGATTCTCTCTTTTGCCAGGCACCGTGGCTCACACCTGTAGTCCCAGCACTTTGGGGGGCCAAGGTCAGGAGTTTGAGACCAGCCTGGCTAATATGGTGAAACCCCATCTCAACGAAAAATACAAAAATTAGCCGGGCATGGTGGCGAGCATGTGTAATCCCAGCTACTTGGGAGGCTGAGGCAGGAGAATCACTTGAATCCAGGAGGCGGAGGTTGCAGTGAGCCGAGAATGCACCACTGCACTCCAGCTTGGGTGACAGAGTGAGACTCCGTCTCAGAAAATAAATAAATAAATATAAATAAATAAATACTATCTCCAAGCTCCGTTTCCCTTCTTTCCCAACCAAGCTCTGCATAGCCTGCCTCTGGAAATCTGCCTGATCACACCAAACACCCATGGCCCAGGGCCAGGGCCATTTTCCCAGCTCTTCTTATTGCTCTATTGAGTAAGGATTAATACAGAGTCCAACCCAGATCCAGGAGGGCCCTGGCAAGGCGCCCTCTCTCTGACATCTGCCCATCAGCCCAGCCTCATGTCCAGCCACTGTTTACTCAAGCACCAGGCTGGCTCAGAGCAGACACCTACCGAATTTTCCCACCTCTTTCCAGGTCTATGAACATGCTCTTTCCCAGCTTAAACTGTCCTTCCTGGGTCTCTCTTCCCATATGCTCACTGAATATTGTTCGAACCTGAGGTCTCTGCTTACACATCAATACCTGAGGAAAACTTCCTTAACCCACAGCCTCCGTCTCCCTGACGGGCTTCCTTGGATCCCCTGTGCTTCTCACTACATTTCCATAGTGGTCATTATTTCCTTAATTGTCTGACTTCTGTGGTCTGTTAGTTCCATGAGCATAGACATCCTCACTATCCCCACCCCCAGAGGCTCCAGTGTCTTCCTCTTAAATGGAAGCAGGAGTCTTTTCCTGAAAGATAGGATGAATCCTCTCACCTAGCACACGGCATGGCATTGCGTGGGCCTCAGTAAGTGAATATGTAATGAATGAATGAACACACGAACAAGCCATTGAGAGAGGACTCAAAAGACAAGGTTTCTCTGTGTTACCTGGTCTGGCCGCAAACTTCTCAATTCACCATTTCCATCCTTGACTTCTCATGACTGGATGCGGTAGATCTTCCTCAGCAGCCTAGTGAGTCCATGACTATCAGAAGCCAAAGTCTTCTGAAGGAAATGGGTTCCCTGTCCTGCTAATGACAAGATCCTAAGCATCTATGACATCATAATCCTCTCCCCAGGACTCTATGCCTAGCTCACTCACCAGCACCCCCTGCATGCTGGAAAGTCTGACTCTTCTTGGTTTCTTTCCTGAAAGATACAAAGAAAGCTCCCTAGCTAACCCACAGGCATGCAGTTACCTAAAACACAAGCCTAAAGCACAAATCTGTATCGAGTGTCTCCGCTCTACCAGACTCTGGCCTAAAAAGTGAAATGTAGCTCAATGGGATGTAGTTTCCATTCTCAGAGATCTAATTCAATTAAGGAGGCAAGTCGATAGACAACTTCAACACTGTGTGATAATAATGATGGTAGGAGGTCGGGCGCGGTGGCTCAGGCCTATAATCCCAGCACTTTGGGAGGCTGAGGCAGGTGGATCACGAGGTCAAGAGATCGAGATCATCCTGGTCAACAAGGTGAAACCCCATCTCTACTAAAAATACAAAAATTAGCTGGGCATGGTGATGCGCGCCTGTAATCCCAGCTACTCAGGAGGCTGAGGCAGGAGAATTGCCTGAACCCAGGAGGCGGAGGTTGCAGTGAGCCAAGATCGCGCCATTGCACTCCAGCCTGGGTAACAAGAGCGAAACTCCGTCTCAAAAAAAAAAAAAAAAAAAAAGAGAGAGAGAGAGAGAGAAAATAATGATGGTAGGATAAGCACAGGGGTCAGGTTTGGGAGTCAGATATGCTTCCTGGAGGGAGGGACATTTAAGCTGAGACTTGGCAATTGTAAATAGGAAGTTGGATGTGGGGATGTGCCTGGGAGGACATTTTCAGATCCAGAAAAATGAAAGTATAGAATATTTGGTAGAAAAGCTCAGTGTGGTGGAGCAGAATGGGGAGTCAGGAGAAGGGAGAGATTCAGTCACATAGGTAGGTAAGGCTGTGTTGGTGAGGACCCTTTATGCCTTAAGAAAAAGAGTTTGGACTTTATCCTGAGGAAAATGGGAACCACTGAAAGGTTTTAAGCAGGGGAGAAACTGGAACCCCTTAGGGGCAAGGACGCTGTTTCATTCACAGTGTCTTGTGGCTCACTTGGCACATAAAAGATTCTGAAACTGAATCAATTAAATAGTGAATTGGCTAAAATACAAGAGAGAAGCATTTCATCATGTTTGCTCTTTCCCTTTCTTTCTTTCTTTCTTTTTTTTTTTTTGAGACGGAGTTTCACTCTTGTTACCCAGGCTGGAGTGCAATCGTGTGATCTCGGCTCACCGCAACCTCCGCCTCCTGGGTTCAGGCAATTCTGCCTCAGCCTCTTGAGTAGCTGGGATTACAGGCATGCGCCACCATGCCCAGCCAATTTTTATATTTTTTGTAGAGACAGGGTTTCACGATGTTGACCAAGATGGTCTCGATCTCTTGACCTCGTGATCCACCCACCTCGGCCTCCCAGAGTGCTGGGATTACAGGCTTGAGCCACCGTGCCCGGCCGCTCTTTCCCTTTCTTACTCTCGCATGACCTCTTTGAGGACAGTGACTAGGAACTTGTCTTCTCCTGGAAAGCAGGCCACCATAAACATTTGTAGGATACCAGGCAAGAGCACAAACAGAGGCTTCTGACCCCTGTGGTTCACCCCTAGTTCTCTTCCTACTCCCCAGCTTCATCGTGTGCCATGAGGAATCTCGGGTGTCCTGGACTGTAAATATCCCAGCCCATACTTGTTCTTTTCATACACGGATCTCTCAAACTGCCCCTCTCTTGGTCACTGAGACCTAGAAGTGAGCACAGTGTTGGCTGTTTGAGTTTGCGGGAGGATGGACACATAGAGGTAATCTCAGGGCCATTTGGACAGAGATTTCTTGGGTCCTGGATAGCTGGAGTGAGGGAGATGACAGCTCTGGGCCTGTACACTGGACCTATCAAATTATCCTATGGGGGTGAGTCATGGCTGGAGGAGAGCCAGAGAACAGTTTTTGTTTGTTTGTTTGTTTGTTTGTTTTTGAGACACGGTCTCACTCCGTTGCCAGGCTGGAGTGCAGTGGCACGATGTTGGCTCACTGCAACCTCCACCTCCTGGGTTCAAGCAATTCTCCTGCCTCAGCCTCCCAAGTAGCTGGGACCACAGGTGCGCGCCACAATGCCCAGCTAATTTTTTTTTTGTATTTTTAGTAGAGATGGGGTTTCACCATGTTGGCCAGGATGGTCTCGATCTCTTGACCTCATGATCTGCCCGCCTTGGCCTCCCAAAGTGCTGGGATTACAGGCAAGAAGAACTCTTTAGCATGTGAAGTCCAGGACAGAACCACCTTGGCTAAAGGGAAGTATGTGAATTGTGCTTTTCGTTCTATAATAGCCTATTCCGGTATTTCTCTTTCACTTGAGTTCTTCAGGTCTTCATGCTCACAGTTATCTCCAAAATTTATTCTGAGTCAAATGTCTGATCTCTTTCACATCTCCCAAAGTGTATAACATTTAGTTGGGACCAAAGCCTTAATCTAGAAGAATTAAGTTATTTCTAGGAAGAGTACAGAAAGGGAGAGAGTGGGAGAGAAAGAAAGAGAGAGGGAGAGAAAGAAAGTGAGGTGGAAGTGACTAGCAAACCTAGGAAGAAATGCTTATTCATAAATTTAAAAATGCAAACCAGAAGATCCATGAGACACTGGCTTTTCCATGACAGTCTGGCAACAAATAGGAAATTTTGGTCACATTGTTAATGAATATGTTGAGAAACAGATATTTTCCTGTTCTGTTAATGAGATTTCATTTTACAATCATGTAATAGGATAGTATATAGCTAATAAAAGCATAGGGTCCACTTGTAGACTATGCTATGAAAAATTCTCCTATGTCATCAAACAAAGAAGCGATCCAGTAAACACATGTTAGTATATCCCTTTTCTTACAAAAAGAATGTATACATAAAGATAGATACAAAATAAGATAAACGTATATTTGAGTATACATAAACATTTTCCTAGAAGAATCACATACACACAAACTACTTGAATTTTTTTTTTTTTTTAAGACAGAGTTTCGCCCTTGTTACCCAGGCTGGAGTGCAATGGCGCTATCTCGGCTCACCGCAACCTCCGCCTCCTGGGTTCAGGCAATTCTCCTGCCTCAGCCTCCCGAGTAGCTGGGATTACAGGCACGTGCCACCATGCCCAGCTAATTTTTTGTATTTTTAGTAGAGACGGGGTTTCACCATGGTGACCAGGATGGTCTCGATCTCTTGACCTCGTGATCCACCCGCCTTGGCCTCCCAAAGTGCTGGGATTCTGTAATCCCATGATGCATAGTAGTTTATTAAAATTAAGCTAATGAAGGCTCTCTGGGAGGTGAGGATAGGTATATTTTCTGCTCGCCATTTAATTTCTAGCTCCAACACACTGTATGGAACATCCTAGGTACTAAATCCCCATTTAGTGAATAAATACATGGAAGGATGATTTTACCAGTACATCAAGTTGGAACTCTTTGTGTTCCTGTTCTTCAGCCTGACTACTTCTTGGTGGAGTCCTTGTGTGTTTTTTTCTCTCCTCCTCCTACACTTATTTTCTTGGTTGGCGTGTTCCGTTTCCTGACTATGGAGGCCATCTGTATGTCAGTGATGATGGTGTGTATTAATGACAGCTCAGGCATCCCACCAGAACTTCAGACTTTCATATCCAACTGCTTATTTAATATTCTCACACAATATCTAATAGACATCTCATATTTAACTTGCTCACAACTGAGCTGTTGATATTTTCCTGAAAACATCCTCTACTCCTATACATCTCAGCTCAGAAGATGCTAACTATTCTCCTCCGTTCACCCAAGCACAAGACTTTTGAGTCCTCTTGGGCTTCGTTTTGTATAACTCACACTTGGTTAATATCAGTAAATTCTGTTAACTTTAAAGTGAATCCACCGGTCTTTGTGGCCAGCCTACTCTGAGACACCGTGATCTCTTGCTGACTTTCTTTTTTAAAAAAATATATTTTATTGTGTTTTAGGTTTTGAGGTACATGTGAAGAACATGCAGGACTGTTGCATAGGTACATACATGGTAATGTGGTTTGCTGCCTTCCTCCCCATCACCTATATCTGACATTTCTCCCCATGTTATCCCTCCCCAACTCCCCACCCCCTGTTGTCCCTCCCTTAGTTCACTCAAACAGACCCCAGTGTGTGATGCTCCCTTCCCTGTGTCCATGTGTTCTCATTGTTCAACACCCACCTATGAGTGAGAACATGCAGTGTTTGATTTTCTGTTCTTGTGTCAATTTGCTGAGAATGATGGTTTCCAGATTTATCCATGTCCCTACAAAGGACACGAACTCATCGTTTTTTATGGCTGCATAGTATTCCATGGTGTATATGTGCCACATTTTCCCTGTCCAGTTATCATCGATGGGCATTTGGGTTGGTTCCAAGTCTTTGCTATTGTAAACAGTGCTGTGATAAACATTCATGGATCTCTTGCTGACTTTCTAATCAGCTTTTAACTGATATCTCTGCTCTATTCTTGGTCTGCTATTGTCTATTTTCAGGAGGGCAGTTGGAGAGGACTTTATTTTTTTTTTTTTAATTTTTTTTAATTTTTTTAATTTTTTTTTTAAATTTTTTAATTTTTTTAATTTTTTTAAAAAATTTTTTTAATATACATGGAGAGGACTTTAAAACATAAATCATGTCATGTAATTCTCCTGGAGAGGACTTTAAAACATAAATCATGTCATGTAATTCTCCTGTCCAAAAACCTGAAGTGGCTCTCCATGCCTTGGGGGGTAAATTGAAGTCTTCACAATAGCCCAAAGGCTCTGCATCATTGACCCCCACATCCACACAGACCTTGGACCTCATCTCCTACTGCTCTTCCTGTCACGTGCCCTGCTGCAGCCACACACACCTCCTTGCCGTTCCTGTAGCAGGCCAGGTCTGTGCACGTGCGCTCATGCACACAAATGCACATGCAGGCCACTAAGGGTCTTTTGTTCGTATTTCAAGTACTTGCTTAAATATCAATTTC